GGCCTTCATCGTTATTCTCTTAAAATTCCTCCTTGTTTCTTGAAAACTCACAACCGGAACTAGAAGAGTTAGTTGCATCATGCTGAGCCGGGAGGCATCTTCGAGTAGTTAACTCTAGCTCTCGGGCCTTGGCGATTTCATCGTTAATATCAATGACGCCTGTTTTGGCCTCTTCCAAGGTTTTTCTCCTCATGCTATACATAGAATATGTTTTTTCGATGATGAGGGAATCTGCTCGGCGCTGGAGTTCTGATTTAAATCGATCAACCTCAGTCAAAAGGCCCTCCCTCTCGGATCTCATGGCGCTAAGGCTAATATCAAGATCACGGATAGTAGTTATATGAACCTTATTATGTTTCATGATCCTCTTATATTTATCCTCCATCTGGGCACGCTTCTCCTCGGTAGCAGCAACCTCTTCAGCTTTGGAGTTCAAGGCTTTCTCCAAGTTATTCACTCTCTCAATGGAGGAAGATTCACGCTTGACAGTAGCGAGCACAGCATATTGGACCTAAGCTCCGGAAGGCGAGCTGCAATTTGGTCCCTCTCGGCCAATAACTGATCCCGCTCGGACTGGAATCCTTCTTTATCAAGGATCAATTTTTGAAGGCCCTCGAAAGCAAGGAAGTTGTCCTGCGAAACAAATACCAAAGTTAAAAACCCTGTCACGACAAATCAAGGAGAAAACAAGCAATAAACAAGCAAGTTCGGTATCGTTACCGCATTGTGTATGGAATTATTTAACAAACACTCTCCCGAAAAAGAGTGTATTTTCTTCTTATCCTTTTCTGAAGCCATCGGCTTCAGATAATTGGCGGGGACACCAGGTGGCACTCACTAGACATCGAGAGGGAGACACTCCTCCTCCTCTGAAGATCTGTAGAAGGGGAGGAGTAGTTATGCCCCAAATTCCCATGGTCTGGAGACTAGGGAGGAGGGACATCCTCCTCTCGGGCATTTGCAGTCGGTGGGGGTAATGTAGCAGTTATTGGTGATGAAGGTATAGTCGGCGTGGAAGGAGATGAAGCTGACGGTGTTGTGGGTTGAGAAGCAGTTATGGTAGAGGCAATGCTGTTTGTTGGTTGCTCACCAACTGAAGGCGGAAGAGGCCTGGTACTCGGCCTCATAGTATCGGGGGCAGCAACTGGGACTAGAAAGGGAGAATTGGCATTCTCCACCAAGTCAAATTCTCCCTAGAGCGCTTGAGCATCACCCTCGGTTGAGGTTATAAGATCTAATGATTGAGCATTCTATTGAGCTGATGAAGGTCGTTGTCTCCTAAATCACTGGCTTCCCCATCACCGTCAATAACCACAGTGTTGCAGCTGGCTCGGGTGCGACTTTCTTCACTTTTTTATTCTTGCCCTCGGCCGAGGAAGAACGTCGCCTTTAGTGTTGCTTGTTCTCCGGTCGGGGACTCCGAGAGGAAGCGCTTGCCCCAGAAGCAGATACGACGACGCCTGTTCGGGTAAGAGCCTCTTTCAAAAACCTCACAGCCTCTGTGGAATCAACCAAAACATCCTTCTCAAGGATGGTAACAGATCCATACGGGAGACCTGAATCCAACAAAAAAGTGAGGTTAACCAGTTTTATTATGTACAAAGATGAAATGAAGGCAGAATCAGTTTCACAAGTCAGCTTACCATGATTCTTGGCCCTACATCCGTATTTGGGGGTAACTATTTACACCGGCAGGTCTTAGGCATGGTAATGTCCAGTATCTTTTGAACTCACCGGTCCTGTCCTTCAATCCTCGGTGGTGTCCACTGAGTTGCTGAAATAATGGAAAAAAAAGGATCAACAACAACATGAAACAACCTCTTTTTAGGAAACAAAATATAGACTTTGAACTTGTGTGTATGAGTCCAGGATTCAGGGAAAGGCGGAGTTGTAGCTGGGATGATGTCCCTGGTGGAAATAATGGCAAATCGCTCAATCCACCCACAGTTGTTGTCGTCATCCATGCTGGTGAGAAAAGAATGGTGGTCACGTTTGCTAAAGTTTATTACTCCCCCGCAAAAAATCTTGGGGGAGTAGAGGTTCATCATAAGAGCCAATGTGAGGTCCTCCTTCATTTCTTGGCACAACCCGTTCGCCATACCGAAGAGCCCACCTGTGCCAAATAAACCTGGTTGGTGTCATAGCTCCAAAATCACGGGGTGAAGGCCGTTCAAAGAAAACGCACCCAAAGTGAATGGGTACATGTAAACGTACGTAAAGCCCTTCTTAGTGAAGGTTACTCACTCCACCAGATCGGGAGCAATGATGTTCAGGTCGTGGCATCACAGTCCTCCTTCACAGCGGGAATACTGGAAGGACGAATAGAAGAAGGGTATTTGATAACAGCGCAAGTGCGAGATCTTGAAGAAGGGAACTTCTCTTCGAAGTCGTTGGTTGTGTTGAGTTGTTTAGGGATGATGGTTTCTCACCGTTAGAGGGTCAGCATCAACGTCGATTTACTTGTCTTTGCTCCTCTTTGGGCCTCCACCGAAGAGAAGACCGGAGTTCTTGGAAGAGTTAGTTAAAGAAGCCATGATCAGCACAAGGTGATAAGAGTTCTTTGAAGATGATTAAAGAGAGATGAAAGCAGAAAAGAGTTGAATTCAAAGAAGTTGAGAGAGTTCATAAAATTGTTAAGTGTAAAAATGGAAGAATGAGCCGTATACGTAAAGGAATAAGCGGCTACAACTGTGGTCATGATTACCTCGAGAATCGGCGAAAATATTTCTAAATCATGGAGTAACACGTATTTGGGGTATTAAATGTGTAGAGACGTGCATCTTATAAAGCGTCAGAAACTTTTCAGAAGGGTTCAAAAACTTTCCCGCCAAGAAAGGAATCTTCACCAACTTCCCGATGACACAAAGATATGCCACCAGAAAGCAGGGGGACAATCTGTATAGGGTAAAATCGGTCACATTAAATACTCGAATAACAGAGTGACACGTGGAACCGGAGGGGAGGGAGACAGAAGATGAAGCGAGTGGAAACCAAGACCGAGGACAATAACTTCGGTTGGCATCGGATAGACCCCGAAGGGAATATTATCAACGAGAGTAAATAAATATTTGCCATCAGATGACATTCAGTGAAGAATATTCCTCAGTGTTAAATACACATCTTTTATAGAGAATTTTGGCATTTGTGACCTACCGTTACATATTCATCAATGGCCCCCATTATTATCATTTAAGAGGGGCTTGATCTTAGAACCTTGTTCCCTAGGTATAACTATAAATAGTGACTTCAATAGCCATTGTAACACACGAAAAATCTGACAAACTTATGCTACACATTATTCCAAGCTAAATAATACTTTATTTTCTGTCTAACGTTATTCTTATTGCTGCCTTCGGAAGCCTTTCTCCCGGAACCAAGCTATCTGCTATTCAATCTCGATTTCAACGCCAAGTCTTGCATTTTATTTAATTTATTTATTATTTTGGGATCAAATCAATTCACTTGTCTGTAAACCACGCTATAAATTCAAGTGTACCATTTTACGAGTAAACACCCATTATATTTTTAAAGTTATGGTGCATTTTCCACCACCAAGCCTTTCTTAATGCACCATAACCTTGTTAACCTACTCTAAAGGATGTAACAAATAGTTGAAAATAAAATTTTAAAATTTATGGGGCTTTACAAAGAGTTTATCCGAANTATATATATATATATATTAAATATTGAATACCCTTGGCTTCTTCGTGTGTTTATTATTGATGACATTTGTAAACGATGATAGTGTTCCCTATCACCCCTTCGATTGGTAGAAAGAGCGATTTTAGTGACGTTATTGGTTCCAATAATTTAATTTGCATTAGAGAAGTGATTAAAAATGCCATAGTCAAGATAGGAAATGTTGAGCTGTATCTCCGAAGTAAACGTGTAAATAATACGAAAATTAAGAAGTCTTAAATAGTAACATCCAACCATGAGCTCCTCTTTCTCGTCTTTTTGCTACTTTGTAAACCATGACAGTGAGCCTCTACCACTCCTCATTGGTAGAAGGATGGATTGTTGGTCTCCATCATTTCATTATGCATTGACTTCCCATCAAGATTTGTACCTTTCTAAAGTGGCGAATGGATCTTTTCAAAGTGCCAATGTTTCAAAAGACCTCTTTTATAGCCAAAATAATATCTCGAGTTTCGCCTTTTGAAGCTGTCAAAGAAATAGGAATTGTCGAGTTTCGCTTTAGTGTCTACATGAGATATCCACAGCTATATTCACCAGAGATCATGAATTAGTGCAGATGTTCGGTATATGACTGGTTACAGTAAAACCATTGGTGGTTTTGGCAAATGAGCATCTCCAAGGAGAGAAAAAGTGAAGATGCAGAATCTCCTATGCAAATCTTTTTTTGGTGATAATCTCGAACAAAACATTAATTGATAGGTGACTACTTGGAAACTGCTCTTTCTACTCAGAAATAGTACTCAAAACATGGGACAAGCATGAAGCGAGCGATTAACAATACATTCTCAGATAGTACATTGACCTTATATGAATACTGGGAACGACTAGCTACTGAAGTCCAATATTAGATGGAAGGAACAAAATCTTCAGCAAGAGCATAGCAAATGAAGCTAAAATAGAAGCTGTAAGTAAGTAGTAGTTACAGGCATTCATGAGATTCTCTGCAATTGTACAATTTGCTAGACCATAGAGCTGAATAGCGAAGCATCTTTTTCTCTGTGCAGCGCATAGCATGGGATACTAACAGGAGAAGACCATACTTCCACGTGCCATCGAGGGTCTACATGCAATTCTTGCTACCCAAAAAGATAAAATGCTCAAATGTATATTTCTACTGAGGAATGAAAAGGCAACTACACCTCTGTATTTGTGGCAATTTTGCACAGCGCATATGCATTCATCTGGCCCGTCTTCTCTCCCTGGATTTCTCTCTATCATGATCATCTCTCTCCCTGCTTCCACTCTTCCTTTCCCTCTCACGGCGCTTTTCCCTTTCCCTATCACTATCACGGTCTCGGCCGGAAGATTTCCACTGAGGGCTTCCACTTCTGCTGCGGCTCCGTTGGCGCTTCCTTGAAGCTTCACGAGAATCGTCTCTTTTCTCTCTCCGCTCCAAAGATGACCTACCTGCTGTTTGTTATGAAAGCAGAAGTATGAGACAATTTGTTCACAACCATAAAAACAATTACATAATAAAGCAAGAAGTGACAATAATTCTTTTACTTTGATAGATTACGTGACAAAAGTCTTCCACGAAACATTTCTTACCCATGAAAAGAGTGATGACAATGTATAGAAGGGAGGCAGTCAAGTGGCCTTTCTATGCGCAATATTTACAGCTAATAAAAGCTTCCCTGTCCAGTATCCTGCTCAACCAGATACCTAATCTTCTCTTCTTTTTCTTTTCATTTTTTCCAATAACCGAGCAATCTCCGAGAATCAGCTAGCGCTTGGTTCAAATTACTCTAATGTTCTCCACTTAAACACCAAGCTTTAGTCTGCAGCAGAGCTTGGGCTCATTGTATGTGCCTAATCCATGCCTCAAGCTATGCTCTTACCACCGAACCAAAACCCTAGGGGCACCAGATACCTAATCTTCTCGTAAATATGAAGATAACCAACTTTATCCAGCAAAGAGTGATACATCTCATAGATGCCAAGAAAAAGTATTATCAAAAGGTTATTGCATCCACAACAGATTACTGTGATAGCTAAATTCTCACTAAGTGCTAACATATCTGATGTGTCATTTGCCTCATTCCACTACAATTTCTTGAACTAACAGACACAGTTTAGGAAAAATACAGTCTCCTAAGCAGCAGCTCAGTAACATGTAATCCAGAGAATGTCTGATAGCGCTGTTGAAAACAGTAAATATAATTTGAGCAATTAAACCACCGTCCTGCTTCAGCTATTGTTTACCATAAAGTTCAGATATATATCAACCCCAAAGCATCCGAGAACTGGTCAAAGGGAGGACAGGGGCATAAGGCAAAAACAAAAATTGGGAAAAGATAATTGTCAACAAAAAATATAAGATTAGAGGAGTATGATACTGCAGTATAGACATAAGATCTGAACCTGCACACGCAATTAAATACACAGACATCTCAAACTACTGACAGATTTAGAGCTTTACCTTTTTTGGAATTATCTTCACTGAAATTCAATAAACCAAATTCAGATTGTAGAAGTTGCCGATGGATTTCAACTTTCCTCTCAATTTCATCTGAACTTTTTATTCCTCGCTCTTCTAGAGATTCACGATATTCAATCAATGCAACCTCTAGACGCCTCAGCTTTTGTCTGATAAATTAGTTATGGACCATATCAAAATCCGAGCAGAAGAAAAATGGAGGACTGTGAGTAATAAATCCACAACCATATCAAAATTCAACATACAAGAGAAATTTGACGATTGGCTATATCAAATCTACATGCAAATTGAAAGAAACAGATTTGACGTTTGAGGTATAGAATCCCACAAAAAGTTGAAAAAGAAAGAGAATTTGCCTCCAAATATTAGGAAAATAGGATAGTAGCCTCAGCTTACAAAACTCCGCATATTAACATCCCTGCTATTAAGAATATTGTGAAAGTTAACATGCACAAACTTTCACTTATTAGATTTGCACCCTCTTATCTTTCCATGGAAAAACTAGTAAAATCAAAATGAAGAAACCAGACATCCATTTGCTGGCCTCGAGAAGGTGCTAGAGTAGTTTCTTACCTTTTAAAACTTTTCCTTCAACGATTTGAGATACAAAAGTTAGCAAGTAAATTATAGTAATTTTCATTAAGTTACTAATCCCTTGAGCAAAGGAAGCTTAATCTGAGAGCAATTTCACACCAAAGTTTGTTCATATCTTCCTGAACTAGGAAAGTATTGAAAGTCAAAAAGGATGTCATGACAACAAAATAACACCAATCTCGGAAATAATTCCACTAGGAATGTTTAACTGCATATACCTCAATTCTTCGTTCATTCCACTTTCCGGGTATGCTGAATTGCTTGTGTCTGTTGTAAGCTCTGTATCCTTGATCTTGCTAAGGCCATCACCAGCGTTCTCACTTCCAGATGATGAATATGTCAACCCCAGGTCCCTCGAACTTCTCTTTTGTTCATCATCACTTTCGTCATCCTCCCTGGCCCATTTAGATGTAGGCAAAATTGTGTCATTTTTGCCCTCACTGGAAAAGTCAATTGAATTATGCTGTAGAACAGAAATAGTTGGGGGTGAAGATACAGAGTCTCTTTGTTTGAGTTGCACGTCATAATCCACTTGACTATTCCATGCAGAAGGAGCACTTCTATCCAACTCAAGGTTGCTATCTTTCCGGCTGCTTGGGAACCTAACAGAACTTGAATGGCCCACAAATTTCAAATCTTCATCTAGTTCATGACCTCTCAGCTTTTCAGCCTCTTCCAGATAAAGTAACCGAGCAACCATCATTTCCCTACCGCCTACAATAGACAAACCATTGTGCCTGCATCGTCTTTCTAGCTCAGTAAGGGGAAGGCTCAACAGTTCCTTCGTTGCAGCTCCTTTCCCAATTGCCAAAGCACCATCCGGGTTAATCTTACCGCCATCACCTGCATCATCAGAACTGGTCTTTTGTTCTACTTCAGGTGCATCACCACACAGAGAATGAAATGGGATCACACCAGAGTTCCCGGTTCGAAGAAAGGTTGCTCGTAAACCATTAACATAGGCATCAGAAAACAAAAACCAATCAGCCCACACTTGAAGCACTTTCAGCACTCTTTCCTGCAACAGGAACGGAAAAACTTAACCACACATCAAGGTGGAGCAACAAAAAGAAAAGGTATGAAAAATGCAGCAAGGCAAAGCAAATGTAGGTGACTGGCACAGCTTACTTTAAGTGCCTCGGCAGTTATTCGTCCTGTTATACTTCGGTATAGATCATTGAAGCTTTCCATTATGTCTGGTAAAGAGGCTTCAAATTTGGTGCGATAAGCAGATGCATTCTTCACAGGAGCACTACTATTATGAAGAATATCAGAGACAAGCATGAGCCTAGAAACTTTTGTTGGTATTGGAGTTTCCTTGAGGGTCAAAGACTCTGTCAAAACTTCAACAACCTGCAAAATATCATCAGCAGGCAACCGCGTTAGAATATGTTCAAGAACAAGAACTATCCAAAGCGTATGTGTAACAGACTACGGCAAATTTTCATTTTAAAGCTAAAACACGAAAAATCAGCCGAAACAGATGCAAGTGCAAGTTGTGCAACAAGAAGCATTATGAACATTGACACAACAAAAAGTGAATCAGCAGCTTTGCCTCTGAAAGGTTAAATATGAAAGAAAAGCTTCACGCACAAGTGAGCTCTTTAACTGCTGCATGAAACCAGCTTAAAGGTTACCTCTCCAGCAGCATCAGCATTGTCCAAAGCAAAACCCATCGCTTCTTTTATTTGACTTCTTTCTAGTGTCAATGACCGGAGCATATCCTCAAATTCATCCCTCTGAGCATCAGTCAATGTCCTTTCAACCTCCACACGCTGAACAAGGTATAGAAACAAACATCAATTGCAAAGAAATTTATTTAAGTTTCAGAGTCAACATGCAAACTCTTAAATTCCTTGGAATGGAAAGCTAGCAAAAGGGCATACCCTGCTTCTTCCAGCAGCAAATGTGCTCCCAGATTCTTTTTCATGCTCAGCTCCTTTAGGTGTTGGTAGAGGTGGTGGTATCCACCTGCACATGTAAATTAGTTATATTTGAAGAAAGAGTACAATTTTCAGGAGAACTTTTCAAAAGGTTGCAGGACTTCATCAAAGCCTTGCAGAACGCTGCAACCTTTGCAAAAACTGAATGATTAATTCTATTTAGATGATTTCTTTCGTCCACAGCAAGCATATACTGCAGGAGAATATTGGTAAAAGCATCCTACGAAACAGTGGTGACTTAAAGAGTGATGCATTCAGGAATATGCACATGCATCAACTATCTGATTCTTCAGCAAAAGGAAAGGTGCATATGAAATGTGTAACAAAAGATTACATAAGTTAGAACAATGTCTTACCTCCCACTACCAGTTATCATGATGAAAGGCACTGTGCGCCAACGTTGAAGAGTATCTCCCTGTTTTTAACAAATAAGAAAGAAAAATATTTTAGGGAGAGAATAATATAAAAGGACAAGATGTCCTAATCCTGTAAAGGGATGACATCAGATAAACCAGTCTTTCCAATTTACTGATTGACTATGTCATAAGTACCATTAGTCATATTGCTTTACATAACATGGAAAGAGATACAAGTGGACAAGAACCAAATTCTCTTGAGCTACAATTGCATGAAACTATTGGCTTTCCGCCATTGAAGCGTAATTTGAAGTATCCACATGGATTCTAAAAGTGATCGATGAAGTTCTGTCATAAGTATTATTAGTTCCATTTAACAAGAAAAACATAATTTTAATAATACTTCATTCAGATTTTAGAGCTGCAGCAAGTTACCTGAGCAAAAGAATAAAGCCTCCAAACGTAGTAAGTATGCTCCTTTGAGCCAAGCTCAAACAAGAAACTGAAGAGAGGATTTCCACGGCCTCGCTCCATTATGGCTTGTTCAAAAGCACAACCTCCATCAAGAACATACAGAGCCATTGTATCAATAACGTGGCGAAGGTGATCATCCTCGGGTGGAACAACCATAATATCTGGTACATTTGGAGTGAGAACCTGCAGAACCAAAAAAGGTATCAGATAATCATAAATAGGATAAAAGGTGCTTAATAAACATCTTCATTACAGATTGGATATACTCGGGGTATAGTAAATGTGCACAAAAGGACGCATCAGAAGACAGGTTGATCGTTCTATCGATCAAGTTTATGTGGCTAACTTAAGGCCCTACAACTTATCCCACTATTGATTGAGAGTAGCACATACCATCCCAGCATACTACCTGTGTCTCTTACACACTCTTTTTCGAGAGAAGGTAAAAATAGAACTAAAATAGTACAAAGAAATATGTACATCAGTAATCAGTTTCCAAAAGAAAAGCTGAATGTGTATCCCTATCCTATTCTTGTAGAGCATCTATAAGATCTAAAACCATGTACACTGTGTCTCTTACAAACTCTTATGCTGTTATGCATGTTTCCATATTTTGAACGTAAACATTCTATCACCTTAGTTGGACTTAGTTATCCATACCACATAAATAGACACTTTTGTTGAAATATACTTATCTTCTTTTCATGTCCTGGGAATCTTAAATATCCATACCACATAGTAAGAAAACTTCCTGCCAATATTTTTTCTTTTAAATGTAACAAAAGTTTTATTAAAGGATAGCACCCAGAGAGTGCAATGAATGAGTAGTACAACCATATGCAATATGCATCTCAGTACACCTAGTTACATGTGAAAAGAACTAAGGACATTAACCATCCTGTATATTTTCATTCTTACACCAAAAGGCTAAGAGAGCTAAACTTCTGTGCTTTAAGTTATAAATTTTCGTTTTCACTGTCAGATTATCTCTGATTTCTTTCCTTCCACAGAGTCCAACATATAGCTGCAGATATAGTGCTCCACAACTTTTTGTAGTCCTCTTCTGTTCCAACAATGTAGCATGCTATGTTGCACGATACAGGTTTGGGCACCCAACACAGGTGCGGATCTAGAAGTTGGATTCATCACCACCGGGTTTTTTTGTGCTCATCATTTCCCAGATTTTAGTATACTTTTGTACTTATCAGTACAAAATGTTGCATCGTTCACCCATTCAACAGTATGGTACACTCTCCTCGATGTTACTTGCCAAACAAGGAAAAGAGTATTGGGCCTCTTTGAGATAATAAGTGCCAAGCTTCCTCCTGTCTCCTTTTTTATTCCAATAACAACCCATAGCAATTAAAATGCCTATTCTATAGATCAAGTATAAGGCAAAAAATCCAATTTATAAATGAAGCTGACAAAAACCCTTTCAATCTACTCCAATAGACCTAAGCTCTCTGAACATTTTGCTTCACTCAATCATGATATCTTTCAATAACACCGTAAATAAGAGCTATAGAGATCAGATACTTATCCCAAAAAACAAAAAAGAACAAGGAAATGTACAAAGATCAACTAATTATCATACCAACTCAGAGTTCTGGCCTGAAACAGTAGTAACCGGAGGACCTGATGGACCAGATAAGATAACAGTTGCACCCTGAAAACCACAGAAGATAATATCTAGAATAAGTATATGTGCACAAGCTGATATCATTAAGAGAAACAGAGGTGACAATAGAATGCATCTCTAGCTTACTGAACTGCAGTTTTAACAGAAAGCTATTACATGGGAAACATTTCCGAGGTTGAGATACACCACTACAGGATGTCTATACATATCAAAACAACAAATAAGCATGCAATACACGCAACTTAGTTCAACATGAACACCTATGCTTCATCCATTGTCTTTGTTTGTAACATGTTTTCAACTGATCATGCAATATTTTGACATGATATAACTCATTAAATCGTACACTATCACATATTGATTATTAAAAGACAAACTCCTCGACCTGACATTTGTCAAATTAATATGTATATAACAGGGCATTGTTCTCTAAAGAATAGACAAACCTCCTTACTCCTGATAGCCATATGTCCTGGAGGGGGAGCAGGAAGCGCTTGAGAAGGCAGAGAGACAGATTTACCCCACCCAATCTTCAACTCATATTCATAAACAATAACTCCTGGATAAGAATAACATGGTTTTAGATATCAGAAATCCATTGCTTAAAATCAGATTTACTTGGGATATTGCAGAAGATACAGAATATAAAGCAATAAAACGAGTACACAAGGAATTAGAACACGTGCTAGCATCCCCATGCAAGACTATATGACTTCTTAATGACTTTAGTCCAGCTTGAGATGTTCTCCTGGCATGCTAGCATCCCCATGCAAGACCGTATGACTATTTAATTTCCTTCAAAAAGACACACTTCTGGAATGAGTACATATCTGAAACTAGAGGAAGCACCACCTAAGAAGCAAAGTTATTAAAGGCTCGCTTGAGGCGCTTAAGCCTGAAGCTCAGTTAAAGCCAGCTTACGTACTTTTCCACGCTTAGGCAGCGTTTTAGTCTCAACGCTACCGCGCTAAGGCACGCACAGTTGTTAAAATAACATCACGAATAAATTTTAGTGATCAGCAATGAGAGATTAGAAATTTGGTATAAGAAAACTAGCCCAAATAAACATTACACTACATTTCCATCTAAATGAGAAATTCAAAATGGTTTTAAAACATCATGGACATGATTTTTACTTCATATATTTCGCTTAATTATAGGTTTTTCAATTCTTTGTCCAAATAATTGTTGTTCGTGTTTGTAGATCGTTTTCCTCGCATTACATATATATTTCTAGTTTTTTCTTCATTAGCTCCTCTTTGCCAAAGCCCATGCTCTTTTTCTGCTTAGCGCTTAAACCCCAATGAACTTGGGCGCTTTTCTGTGCTTCATTGACTACTCTGTGATGAAGACTATTGACAAAACAAAGGATAATAACTGATCGAAAACCTTGTTCCTTGTGAATATCCTTCTGCTACCAATATATATCTCAAGCGAAACAAGAATCAGAATAGACACAGCAAACAAGGAGAGGAAACCCAAGAAAAGGATAAGGTGGTGGGAGTCACCTGAAACCAATAACTAAATAAGCAAATAAGATCATGAAGCAACAATTGATTGCTTGTGTTAGTACAAAATATAACAGCCTTGGCTATCAGAAGTTTTTTCCTTTTCTCTTCATATGTTTATGGATTGTAAACTCCACATGTATGTTTTTCTTTTCTGTTTTCTTATAAACCGAGAAATCCCCAAGGGCCAATGGCACACAGTTCAAAATTTGGTGGATAATGGGCCCATTCATCTACCCATTCCACTTAAATACCAGGCTTTTGTTTTGCCGCAAGGTTCCAAACTCGTGACATGAGCCTACTCCACACATCACACATTATGCTCTTACCACTAGACCAAAGACTTGGGGGCAACTCCAAATGTATGTTTTTAAACAGAAATATATCCTATTTATCTACTTTCTTTCTGATTGAGGCTACTGATCCCTAGTCATTGAGGATCCTATAACTCCGTACATAAATAGAAACTTAAAGTTAACTTGGTTTAGCACTAAAAACCTATTGAACAATTCCTAGGCATCTTGAGGGGGATAGAAGTGCTCTACAGAGAGCAACACAAATCACAATTATCAAACAAAAAAGACTAGATAAAGAGATTAGAATCCATTCAAATGAAGAAGCTGAAGCTAACCTTCCATCTCATCTTTTGCAGCCTGAGCATCAGCTCTATTCATGAAAGCTACAAAACCACAATTCCTCTGTCGCCTTCTTTCTTCTTCTGTCCTTGGCCACATTATCTTTACACTTGCAATGGGGCCAAATCTCCCAAATGTGCGCAAAAGAAAATTCTCATCAACCTGTAAGTAAATAAAACAAATGGGAACCACATAGAGGACGCCTAAAGCAGCAAACAACTAATTCAAAATTAAGCGCAAAAACCTTACCTGAGGTGATAGGTTTCCTACATAGAGATTTGTTGTTTGTGGATCGCCATCATCAAATGATCCAGGCCTTCCACTAGGATCAAAGTCATCAGGCAGCTCATCAAACCGACTAGATGGCTGAGGAAAGAGTAAGATTTAAAGATTTACAAATATCATTATAAAACACAACAAGATGCCAAATCAAACCTCCATTTGGTTAGGCATAAAATATTTTCAATCACTATTTTTCCACGTCAATGTTTGACGAATGTATCACTTCCAGAAACATTTTCAGGTGTAATCCAGATGCATATATTGGAGGCATGTTCATGTGGTAGAGGGTTTGGGATAGGCCATTGGGGTAGTGTTTGGTGATCCAATGAGTAGCAAAGAGTGAGAAGGAGTCTTATATTTTGTGAACGAAAATGATACAGTTAAAGGATCATTAAGGATGCAATCATTTTTCTCCGTTCGATATGTAACATATCCATAAACAAAAATTAAACTTAACGTGACCAGATTGAAGACAGGAAAATGGATCATAGATGCAAATAGCATGACAATCTGTAATCACCTGATAATATCAGAAATTCATAGCTATTAAACTGTTGCTCTATTTCAGAGAAAAATGATAATCCGTACTCATAGCACATCAGCAATTACAACAAGATGTGTACATGTAAGATTCTGTGCAAACTGTGTCTACTCCAGATGAGGTAAAAGTAATCTTCTAAGTAATATAAATAACTTCTCCAGTTCATACAAAAGATTCAGATCCAGATATGATTGAGAGATGCAACTTTTCCTAGTGCAGCCAAAACTCTTAAGTTTTAACATGTTCATTCTGAATAGAAGCTATTACATCACAAGTTATCTTGATTTTTGTCAAATCCCCTCAGATCTGATACATGAATTCAAGAATAAAAACAGAAGATTAAAACCAACAATCTGGACAGTTTCTGTTTGCCGATTGTAAATCCACTTACAGTAGAATTTTCAGTATGACGATCACGCCACTGTTCACGGTCTTGGTTACGCCTTTCCCTCATTTCTTGTTCATGCTTCAATTCCTCCATGAAATTGTCGATGTTCCTAGACTTGCCCTTCTCTTTTTCCCTCGGCTTATCCTCCTTCTGCAATAGAAGTAACCAACATATTTAGATATCTACTAGTTACAAGTTTACTACTCTTGCACCAAAGAACTTCCAAACACCCACTGACCTTCTTCTCATAATCTCTGCCCTTTGTTGCCATAGGAGGCGGCAAGAAAGAAGGCACATACCTGCAGTACACAAGATACACTCCAGAATCTGTGCTACCAATAACCTTATTCTTGAATAGTGACAGGATCAATAATTTAAAAGGAGAAGATGGTAAAAGATAAAGGATCAATGAGACATGATATAAGCTGAATTATACATACATACAAGTAAATCATAAGTAGCAAAACATGGTTACCACCCATGAGTAAGTATTAGTATTGATGTACAGAGCAGCAATAAAGATGAGTATATATTGATTTACACCTATATAAACAATTAAAGAAGGAAGAAGCCGGTGATCCGCACATTTAATAACAAGCAAAACCACTTGATTTTAATCAATTCATTGTGTTTCCTCCAATGGGCACAGACACTTTATTGCTTTTAACCTGTTCTTACTACTGGTTCTTTGACGTAGTGTCTTCCCAAATCTCTCATAAATATTCGAAATTATTGACCAAGTATACCTCTATTTAGAAGATAGCCTAACCTACCACAGTATCCTATAATTTGCCTGGTCTCTTTTCAAATACACAAACAAAAGAATTCGAAGAGGCAAAAAATGTCATAATAAGGACAACATGGATCTATCTCCAGCTTTTGGAGTCAGCTAGCCTCCTCAGACGAAATGACTCGGTGAATGCTCTACTATGAACCAAATACACTAACGGACCATTCTGTAGCCAGACAAGGGACCAAATCGTGTGAACAATAGGTCACCGGTTCGAGCTGTGGAATCAGCCACTTTTTTTACAAGGGACCAAATCGTAGCCAAATGAACTCAAAATTGGACTAGATTTCAGATGCTAATTTGTTCATTTTTAAATTAGTTGTAGAAAATGGGGCGACAATCCAAGGTGTGGATTAAGTCTTAAGAGACCATAATGTTTCTCCTGCAGATATAGAAATAGGCACACACATGGGTGTGGCCTAGTGGTCGTGGGTGCAAACCTTTGAGACACGGTTTAAATTGCAGCAAAGACAAAACACTAGATGATTTCTTCCCATCTACCTAAGCCTTGGTCCGCAGAGTTATCCACTACCTATGCTAGTGGGAAGTAGCAAGTACCCGGCGGAATAGCTGAGGTGCACCCAAGTTGACCCGGATACCGTTTTCAAAAAAATTGGAAGCAGGCAAGCCCTAGCCCATTCTTCCTTCTTTGTCCTTTCTTTTGCAACACAACACTAGCCTGCTTTTTTCTTTCTTCTTTGTCCTCTCTTTCTTCATTCCTTTTTTTTGGGATAAGGTTAGATATTTTCATTAAATAAAGTACCAAGGAGGTATTACAAAATATAAAAAAGATATCAGCAGTTGCATTGTTACATCATTTGCCCATATCTTCCAGAAAGTCAAAAAGACAATCAAGCCCTCTATGTAACTATTCTTACACCAGTAATATAAACTTTGTAAGCATCTATCTTTTACAGAATATTATGTTGCTTTCTTTCTTCAAAGCATCTGTTATTTCATTCCAACCAAACAGTCCACATGATGCACAATATAACAGTTGGCCAATTGTTTTCTTCTCCTTCCAATTTCCTGGCCGTGCCAACTTAACAGCGAACTCCTCACATTTGAAACCCACTGGAAACATTCAACAAGAGCATCCAAATCTGCCAGACATAGTAACAGTTCCATAAGAGATAGTTGTTGATTCCTAGGATCTCTCACACAAAAGACATATGATGCATAAGGAGAAACCCCTTATTTGCAAAGCATCTTGCATAAGACATGCATTATGAATAGCCAACCATCCAAAACATGTAGCTCTTGATTTCCATAGTATTTTCCAAGGACATTCAACATCCCTTTCCCCTGATTGTTTCAGTAATAGAGAAAAGCAACTCTTTACTAACAAATTGCATACTTGCTAGTAGCCAGACCAGTGAGTCCATTTTTGCTTTCATCAGGAATTGTTGGTTCTAAGATATTTAAAAACTGACAAAAACCCCAACTTCCCAATGGCTAATATTTCTTTGAAATCGCACCTGCCACCCTGATTTAGAATAGCATCAGCAACCAAACAATCGTTATCTGTAGTCGGTCCGTACAAAGAAGGAAATGTACCCTTCAACCCACCACCATCTAACCATATATCAGTCCAAAATCTATTAAAAACCCATTTCCAACTCTTAGAATGATAAATAGCCGAATTCATTCCATAATCTGCATATTTGCTTCCAAACAGCTCAGTCGTTAGGTAGTAACATAGGATTGGGGCACCAATTACTATATTTGCCATATCAATGTTAACAACCTCCTTTCACGATTCTCTGCCCTTATCATTTAACCTCTATAACCACTTGAAAAGCAAGCTCTTGTTATGTCGCTTTAGATTTTTGTCCCCCAGTCCCCTACTTCTTTTATCCAACATTACTATTTGTCATTTCACCATATGAAACTTTCTCCTTTCAGCACTTCCCATAAAAAGTTGCTCCTTAAAGAGTTTATCCTCTTTTCAACTTTATTGGAAATAGGAATAAGTAACATCATATAAGTTGAGATCCCATCCGAAATGTTATTCACCAGTGTAAGAAAGAAACTGTTTGTTCCAACGGACCAGCTTCCTAACACATTCATCAATCACACCCTGCCACACCTTATTTTTATATTTGGCACTTAGAGTAAGCCCCAAATAAACACTGAGAAAAATATCAATTTTACAACCCATAATACTTCAAAAGCAATGTTATACAGTTACTGGCATTGATAGAAAAAATACTGCTTTTTCTAATGTTAATTTGTAGACCAACAACTGCTTAAAAAGCAAGGAGTATTACTCTTAATGCAAAAACTGCAACTTGTCAGTCTCACATAACAATAGTGTGTCATACCCATTACAAATCCATCCAAGGTTTTCAGCTTTTCTGAGCATCAAACCTAAAACCTCCATCACAATGACAAACGAATAAGGAGACAAAGGATCTCGTTGTTTCTTAAACAAACCCTCAGGGTTCACATTCATCAAAACTGAGAGTTTAACCGTAGAGATGCAGAAGGAGATCTATTTCCCCAAAGTTCGTTTTCTTCGACACATCCAGGAGAAAAACCCAACTCTCATGATCATAGGCCTTCTCCAAGTCTAATTTGCGTGCTGCACAAGTTATCCCCTTTCTTAAATGATGATCAATGCACTCAATTGCTACCAAAGAAGCATCAATAACCTATCATCTACCCTTAATAAAAGCATTATGAAATCAGCTTGTTAATTACAGTCTTCAGCCTTTATGTTAAAAGCTTTGCAATTATTCTGTATACACTGCCCAGCAAACTAATAGGTTAGTAGTCTTTAATTCCTACAGTCCTACTGCACCCATCTTCTTAGTGACTAAAGCTATAAAAGTAGTATCAAATTGTTCAACCGTTCTCATAATATCTCTTTTAGTACATGCCAGCATCTTTTGAAAAATAACATGTTGAAACTATCAGGGCCTGGAGCTTTATCACCATCAAAGGGTTTCACAGTAGCTTCAACTTCTTCCTCTCTAAATGGGCTTTGAAGCCAAATCTTTTCCTGCTCAGTAATTCTTGCCAGGTTATTATCCTTCCATTTAGGCCCCCACATTTCTTTTTCAGTAAACAAACTTCATAGAAGTCCAATATATGCTTTCTGATTAATCTTTTATCTTCCACTGATTTCCCACCAGTCTCCAATCCATTTTGTACATGGGCATTTGCAAGCTTGTGAAAAACTGTGTTTTATCACCCTGCTTAATGCCTTAATCGATAAAAATCTTGATTTTGCCTCCAACTTATTTCTTCTGCTTTGTCTATTTCCTCCAGTTCACTGGTGAGAAGTTCTTATTCTTCTTTCAGCTTCATATCATATTGTCATGATCCTGCAGTATGAATTTTTCCAGCATTTCTTTCTTTCTTCAAGCCTTTCGTACACGTCATTGTTCCATTTTTTAATGTCAGCCTTCAACACCTTAGTTTTTAGAGCAGCACCAACCTTGTCCTTCACCTCATAAGACAGCCACCATTTCTTTGTCTTCTCTTTCTACCACAACATCAACTTGTTACCCCCCTCCCATATACCCCTCCATTGACCGTTTGTATAACCAACCTCCGGAAATTCCCGCTCCCAAGAGTAGATTTATTCCCGGCTCCGTAATCTGCGTCAACGACTTCGGCCTGCAATTTATCACATTGCTATGTCACTCCTACCATGCAACATCATTTTTCCCTCCCTTGCCCCACAACATCCCATCCGTCCTAATAACAGTCTTATATTTTGCTAAGTCTACATGGATCCCCATAAATTGTAGGTCCTTCGAGCCAACTTCCTTTTATGTAAGTTTAGGTCTACCTCGTCCTTTTTTAACACTTCACTCACCATGGTTCCACACCTACAGACTGGTGCTTCTGGAGGTTGATGCAGGACATGAATAAACCATCAAAAGCGGCATTCTTTTATTTTACTCTCGATGTGTGTTACTTAAACCTTCTCGCGAATGTGATTATTTCTGATCTTGTCTAATTTTGTACGATCACATATACATCTTAACATCTGCATCTCTGCAATATTCTTCTTGTGTATGTGTTAAACTTTAGAGGCCCAACATTCAACCCTATATAGCATTGTTGGTCTTATAACAGTCGATGGAACTTACCTTTCACTTTGGGAGGAATCCTTCTATCACATAACACTCATGTAAAACTTCTCCATTTCAACCATCCGATTTTGATTCTATGTGTAACATCTTCAACTATCATTCCATTCTCCTAGAACGAGCGTAAATACCTGAATTGTCTGCATTTAGGCATTACAATCCCATCTATTTCACTCTTCTTATGTTGACTAAACTTGCAGCGCATATATCCGGTCTTACTTTTACTTATCCTAAAACCCTTATTCTTTAGAATGCTTCTCCATTGTTCCAACTTTTGGGTTGACACCCTCATTGTTTTCGTCAACTAGCACATCTTCTTTAATTCTAATTATATGTATTTTTTGAAATGGAATGGATTTCAATTATATGCTTTAAATTCAAATTACATGTATTAGACTATTAGCAGCATTATTTAAGGCGTGCTATTAAGCTAGGTGCATCACAAGCTGGAGCTTGACCTCACTTAGATCACACCTCTTCAGTGCAAGCGCTAAGTTGATAGATGTGCACCTCAACATCAATAGGCTCTGCCCCAAAGATGGCGCAATAAACAACAAATATAGATGACAACTACAACTACTATTGTGCTTCAATTCCAAGCTAGATAGGGTCGGCTATATGAATGCTCACTATCCATTTCGCTCCATTTGAATTCATTTCATCACAATATTCAATAAATTGCGATTCTCCGATACTAGAAGTTCTCCACAGTTTATACAAATGCTTGAATGGATACGACGACTCCAAACAAACATAAATGACAAGGTGACACAAATATTTTCAAGACTGATAAAGCAATATAATAAATGTAAAAGAAACATCATTCATGAATATGCTAGTAATGGAAGATTGTCCCACCCTGCATTTGGTGGATAATTTGGAATGAGAGAAATCAGCTTTTGGTGTAAACAAGAATACTTTTAAGAAGTTGAGTCTATTTTTGAGATCTTAGATTATATATGAGATAGGTAAGGATAGGAACTCAGTGCTCTCCTTGTAACTATGAAGGACTACACTGCTTTGTGTAGTTCCTGTTTAAATATATCCTTCTAAAAAAATCAAAAAAACAAAAAAAAATGCTAGTAATTAGTAGTTAGAAATTAGCACAAGAAAGTTACACAGTAAATCCAAAATTAGAAACTTGAAATTGCAGTTGTTTTTTCAATAAGAAATTTAAATTTACTTTTTAACTTGATTGACATGATTTTTACTTCATACATTTCTTAATTACAAGTTTTTCAAAGATTGAACGTCAACATTGATTGGAGTTTTTCAAATCCTCTCCCATATAATTGTTGTTTCTTTTGGAATTTGTTTTTATTGAATTATACTTGTTTTTCTTCATTAGCGCCCTAATCGCTAAAGAGTAAAGACTGAGTGCACTTCAATTATGCTACGCTCTTGAACACCTAATTTCTTATTTCCTTCGACAAAACTTGCATATTATATTTTCTAAAAGAATAAAGAATAATTAAGTAATCAAACTCCTAATGCAATAGTCAAAGGTAGATACACAGAATCTATAATTGACTTTTTTCATAAGAAATTATCATATACGGTAGTAGATAAAGGAGGCACCAAGCTCTCTCTCCATAATACACATTTAGCAACATAGTTACCATTTGCAGGTAAGTCAAAGCAAGACTGAATTTGCAAAATTCAAATTTTTAAGAAGACAAGCTGACACAAATCAATCTGGAAACAAGGAAACATATAAAAGCCTAATAAGAACAGTGATATCGTCATGAAAAACTTGGTATTCAGTATCCTAAATTACAATAACATTGTAACATGGTCAATCAAAAGTATTAGTTTACCTACTCCCCTTCTTTAAACCTGAACCCTCATCTTTAGAATTTCCACCTGCCATCCTCGAATGAATAGAAAAGGTCCATATGTTTAATAATTTGTTCGTGTAAGAGAAAAATCATTTTATTTGTAAGAATTAATAGAAAAAAACTTTTAGGTAATCAAAGAAAGAACGATAGAGAAACACAATATAGATTCTTGCAACTGACCTTCAGAATCAGTCTTCACTTTATCATTCGGATTGATAGTTCCCCCTCTAACAAATGCCTTGGAACCTGGCGCATTATCCACTGAAAACGACTCCACAAATTCTTGATACAGACGAGCTGTTTCATCCTCTGCCCTCTGCCAAAAGAAGGCATACATAGTGAGCAAAAAGGACAATCACCCTTCCAATTTCCACTAGAAATCAAACTTGCTACACTCATACCTTTTTCTTTGCCTCTTCCTCTTCCCTATGCTTCTGGAAAGGTGTCTTCTTCCGAGCACTCATCTTCTTACCAGATATTTCAACTTGAAAACAAAATTATTTGGTAAACATCCTTTGGTTCAGAAAAAACATTATCAACAAAATAATATTCCAACAACTAACTTGGAAAACACATTTATTCCCCCTTGCTCTTCGAAAGTTTGTACTAGCATAATGCCCACAAGGGCACTTAATTATGCTACCCGTACTAGAACCACCATCCAAACACTACTTGATATGCTCATGGAATTTTGTTATAGACATCAACAACTAAGAATCAAAAGAAAGCTCTGAATTTCATTCTAAACTAAAAATTGCCAATGAGGCCTTAGTTTAGTGATTAGCGGGTTAAGCTGAACACGCTAAGACCAGAACATCCCGCGTTAAACTGCAAGGCAGAAGTAACTAAATCCAACTCCCAGTATCATTGATTTGTACTACTGACTTGTCCATTTAAATGAATGAAACAACAAAAGATGCTGGCTTTTAGCTAAGATTCGACCAAGAAAGTACACTTTTCAAACTTAATCAGCAATACCAACGAAACCCAGAAAGCAATCCATAAAATAACATAGAAAACAGTCAAATTCACAGTGCAAAAGAAACAGCATAAAAACCACTCAAACCACAAAAATGTTCCAAGAAAATATTGAGAAATTGAAGAAAAAATTAGGGAGATTACTTAGGAGCTCAGAGAAATGAATTCAGGCTCGCCGGAAAGAATCCACTAACTCTAAACTCTTCTGAAGTGAAAGATGTTGGCCGTCACGTCGTTCATTAGCTTTCCGATTAGCCCTGCGGCTTTTCCTCTTTCTCCTGTCTGCTGCGTGAGTCGTGACGAATCAGGAATGGGCTCCCAAGCAGTGGGCTGCTCTAAATTTGGGCTAGTCTTTTTTGGGCTTACGAACTGGTGATCTCTAAGAGCCCAATTCTCTTGACTCAGGGAGGTCCTATCCAGTACATTAACTTACAGGGTCTTTACGCAAATAGCCGGTCAGATTTACTATNATTTATTTTATTTTTATTTTTATTTTTATTTTTTTACAATCACAAATTATTTTAAGTTTAAGTGGTTGGATGAACGACTATTTAGGTTAATTTTTTTAACTCCTCTTTTTGTATCTGCTTGTAGTAGTAGTATGACAAAGCTTAATCTTTTTTTCCTTAAGATGGCGTGAGCGAAATCCATAGTTGTAATTGTAATAGGAATGAAGTGGGCTGCAAAGATATTCCCATGGTTTTTAGTGCTTGAACATAAGAAAAAATTTTTAAGGCACAAATCAGCCAGTTTGGATTGGCTTAAAAAAAAAATTGTGCTTAAAAGCACTTTTAAATCCTGAAGCTTATTTTATAAATAAGCAGTTATGTGTTTGGATAAAAGTATTGAAACTGAAAAAAAATTGTTAAAGTGTTTGGTAAACAAGTGATAGTAAGCACTTTTTTCTGTTAAAGTGGCTGAAATATCCTTAAAGCTGGTAACACTAAAAAGTAGCTAATTATTACAAGTTTTTAATGCTAAATTGATTATTATACAAATTGATTTATGTCTTTTCATTAAGTTCTCAATGATTAGGTAAAATTATTTTTAATATATATAAAATATTTATTTAAATAACATATAATAATAATAATTTGACTAAAGAAAGAAGTGTGAGGGGAAGGGAGCAGCACTGGGAAGAAAGAAAGGAAAGAAAAAATTTGGGAAAATAATGAATGAAAGAGTAAAGAAAGAAATGAAAGGAAAATAGAGGAAAGTTATGGAAGAAAGGAAAGGAAAAATTTGAGAAAATAATGAATGAAAGAGTAAAGAAAGAAATGAAAGGAAAATAGAGGAAAGTTATGGAAGAAAGGAAAGGAAAAATTTGAGAAAATAATGAATGAAAGAGTAAAGAAAGAAATGAAAGGAAAATAGAGGAAAGTTATGGAAGAAGAGGAAGAAGAAAGTCGAGGCTGCAACAAGACCGGAGAAAAGAAAAGGATAGTATGTTTTAAGGTTTTCTATTGGGGTAATTTCGGGATTAAGAAAAATTATAAGGATAAGAATGTAATATCATTGGTCAAAGCAATATGGCTTTTAAGCCAATTTGAAAAAGTTAAGATTACCCAACTTATTGGTTTTGGCTTTTTTTAAACAGATTTTAACTTTTTTTAAGCCCTTTTTTGATTGTCAAACACTTCCACAAATTAAAAAGGGTCATCCAAACAGGCTCATAGTCTTTCGTATCGTCATCATAGAAAACAAATATAGTATTACTCACCAAGCGAAAATCAGTATTATCATGTATGTTACTTGAAAATCTAATTCCCGAACAGTCACCGGTAAACTAAATTTGGTTTGTTAATTACGTTCATTTATACCTAGTCATGTTTATCCGACCTTGTAGTTTTTATCTTCAAGCAATAGTTAAATATATTCTTCGATAACATCTGTGTGTCCTTTGTGGACGCTGGATTCTGCAATTGCCCTTACTAACAAACTTTTTTTAAACTTAGAGCGAAATCTTAGTGTCGTTCTAAGATTTATGTTCTTTTATCCTTTAATCTCGATTGATAATCTCACTTAACCTTGTAAATTATCACTTAGCATATGTTGTATTTACTTTGCACATTAGAAGCCATCTCTGACGTTGTTGTGCAATATACCAATCGATGATCAATTGATTATGGAGGTTTTTAGCAAGGGTCTGCTTTTTAAATTTAATCATTTTCATGGCAATCTTCGGCTATTCTTTCCAACTTCAGATTAATGGGTGATGTTGCTAAAAACAAAATTTATCTAATAATTAAGGAGTACGTATTGTACATTTGTATTGCATCTTGTATTAATTAAAACATAGTCTTATTTAAAATCCATAAAGGATGGCGGATTTTATTAAATAAAAAGAGAAAGAAACACAGAGGGGAAATAAGATTAGGCCTAAACCTCTACAAAAGGCTAATTTCAGGAGGAGGAAAGTATGCTTTTAATTCTCTGTACATGTTGAATAAGAGAAATATACTTACAATAGCTCAAAAAAATGACCTTGTACCGTTGTACGTGCAAATCTCCAAATTTTTCTCCTTTCAGCTCTTAAGTGCAATTGAAATATTCCTAGCACGACTAGATACGAACTAATTATAACAACCCTATACCTCTTGAGTTATATTTTTCTTTTCCTCTTGCCATCTTTATTTATATATTGAAATGTTTTCAAACCTATTTCATGTGTGCAATTTGTTGGCATTCAAATGGGGTTTGAGGTTACCACATTTGGTGAATTATCTACCTTTCATAGTTTGAAGTGTAGGGTTCAACGTAATTTTTCTCTTCATTTTTTTTTTAAATTACTCCACTCACCTAGGTTTTTACCTCGCATTGTGGCAAGGAATTTTGACATTGACCTCGACCTTTGTTTAAAAATAAAAATAGAGGGCAGAATGGAGGGGAGATAACAACCTTAATCAGTATACATAATTTCAACCTTACACATAGTTCCTTCTCCTTCCATTGATGTAATGAATTTTTTTTTAAAGGCTAAGCATAGTATTTGTAGATATCGAAATTTTAACGGATCAAGCCCATATAAAATTTGGGCTAAATCCAAGTCTATTAGGGTTTCCTTGGAGGCTACTCTATCCTAACTCTAGATCACTCCTATTAAAAGGGTTACATATCCCCTTAAAAGGGAGATCTCAAAAAATGGAGATCATCTCGAATATCGGATAATTCTTGATAATCAAATACTTCAAGAAGATCTACACCATACTTTCATGGATATCATATACATCCAATAAAGTTTGAATCATCCTACGTTCGAGAAACACGCTGATTCAGCCCTCGAATCACGGAGATAATCAGGAGAGAAGAATCAAAGGAACAAATAGAATTGTACCCGCATCATTTTATCAATAAAACTATGTTTCTTCATATTTATATTGTGATTACAATTTATTTTTGTATCACAAATAATTTGTTGCAAACAATATCAACAACTAAGTGACTCCATATCGACATGGGTCTCTCTTCTTGCCTTCCCCTTTCTTCCAAGTTCCAAGTATAGATTTTTTTTTTCTTTATCTGTGTACAAAGGTAGACCATCCTCATGATTAGGAACATAAGCATATAATCTGCATATATAAGAGCTCCCATCTTCTCCAAGATTAGCATATAATCTGCCTATATAAGAGCTCCCATCTTCTCCAAGATTAGCAATATGCACGATCATAAAATTTCGTTATCTATTTTGATAGCATAATATGTCAGTACGTCAAGAGACTTAAAGGTTAAACTTCCTACCTTAAAACCTATGTCTTAGCTATAGGAAAAGGGCCAAATATTTCCAGCTACTTTCGAATATTGTTTACATTTACTATCTGATCAAAATTATCTCTACCATCAGCAAACTTTTAAAATTATCCCTTGATCTGTTAGGTAATCTAAAATCTCCCAATTTCCTTTTATTTAAATCACTTATTGTTCTTCTTGCTTCACTATTTTTAGATTTTACTATTGATGTGAATGCTAAATGTACTAGACTATACAAATTATTCATGGATATTTTCAATTACCATTGCACCCACGTATCTTCTTGTGATAATGGGTTTGGAATTGGTTTAAAATTTTATTTATTTTTTAATCATATATACACCGTAAAATTCAATAGGTCTATTTATTATATGCAGTTGCTCATCAAATATATACATGTATATTCGAATATATTTTGTTATTGTCTTATTAGTATAGAGTTCGATCGACTAACTTAAGAGTGCACAATGCGTAGGCATTTGATTAAAGCAAAGTTGAATTCGACAATATAAAGTCCCCCAGGAAGTTTAACTTCTATCACAAATACTTGCAAAGTATCCATACCTTTGGTGCAACGAATTTATTAAAGTTGGGGTGTTAGTAAATACTTTTAAAATTTAGACAAACTACCTAATTTAGATTTTTTAATTTACTATACTTTGTTTACTAACCATTGTATTATTTAATATTTCTTTCTCTTATTTTTTTCAATTAAGAAAGTAGGTAAATATCAACTATTTCGAAAATAGTAAATCAAGAAGAAGAATAAATGACTTAATTAAAATAATTTGGGAGATTCTGGGTCACCTGAGGGGTAATTTTTAAAAGTTTGCTGATGGTAAGAATAAATTTGGCGGGATAGTATAACGATAGGGGTAAATTTGACCGAATAATATAACGAAGGTTAAATATAGACAATATTAGAAAATAGAGAGGTAAATTTGGACCTTTTCCCATATAAGTTAGTGATGGGCAAGGTTAGAAGGGATGAGAAAGTGCAATGTCCTTCCTGATTATCAAAGACTAAAGAGTATAATTTTGCCGTTTCAATTCAAAATTAGCATATTAATCAAGACTAAAGGACATTCTTTTAGCTTTCATGACATTACAATATTACAAATTTACTAGTTACAGAAACACAAAATTGTTCCCTTATCCAAGCAAAACAAAATTATAGTATTTAACCTTTAATAACTCCAAATTAGAGTAATGGTGAATTTAACCCATCTTTGATAATTCAATGGGCCATACCATTATGTCATTTATCTTGTCCAGTGGCTAGCCTCCAACACTTTCCGCACTAAAAAGTCTGTCAAACCAGCCCATTGTTTAATAATAATGGGGTAATAATCACTAAGGTCAAATGAACAACAAAGTGGAAGATGCTTATTCCCTTCCTCTTCAACTAGAGCATCGTCTCATAATCCATTAGTTTTAGCTCTTTAATTTGCTGTGTCGCATTAATTAGGATTTAGGAAATGCTCTTAAACAGACAGCAAATTACTGTCATTGTAATTAGTATTTGGATGAGGGTGTGCGGCCCGAGGT